ACCACGTGGGGTTGAATCTCCAAGGGAAGGGCCACTGCCTCTCCCCAGAGCCCTGGGAAGGAGTAAGATGACCACTGTCCTGCATGGCCACAACTCAGAAAAGCTTTGTGCGCGCTCCAAATTCTGAGTGTTCCTACACAGTTCCAGTCCAGTCCGCCCTCCCTCTGCCGGAGCCCAAGGTGTGTGGCTGTGGTTATTTTAGCGTCTGTCCCAGCTCTGCGCTGCTGCTTGGGAGTTTAACCCTTGGGCGTAGCTCACAGCTAAGGCTGCTGCTGTCTATGGGCTCTAGCCCCCTCTCGCGCCTCTGCAATCCTACCAGGATCGATCGGTGTACCTGGTTATATTTTCCTCCAAGCTGCTTTTTTGTTGCTTTTTACTGACAGTTTGTCTTTATTTTTGTTGTAACTCCAGTTTGGTTCTGGGAGATGGTCTGTGTAGCTTCCATTCACTCCACTGCCATTTTGGAATCCTCCCAGAAGCTTTTTTAGTTTGATGTAGTGCCATGTGTTTATTTTTTCTTTTGTTTCTGTTGCCTTAGGTGATATATCAGTGAAAATTCTGCTGCTTATGAAGTTACCCTGAAATTTTGTTACCCTGATTGACTTCTTTCACTTAGTGATATGTATTTAAGTTTTCTCCATGTCATGTAATGGTTTGATACATCATTTCTTTTTTGTACTGAATAATATTTCATTGTCTGGATGTACCTTGGTTTCATTATCCATTCACCTACTGAATGGCAGCTTAGTTGCTTCTAAGTTTCAGCAATTATGAATAAAGCTGTTGTAAACATCTGTGTGCAGGTTTTTGTGTGGACATAGGTTTTCAGTTCATTTGAGCAAATAACCAAGGAATGCAGTTGCTGGGTTGTATGATAAGAATATGTTCAGCTTTGTAAGAAGCTACCAAATGGCTTTGGAATGGCCGTGGCATTTTGCATTCCCACCAACAGTGAATGAGAGTTCCTGTCGCTCCACATTCTCACCAACATTTGATGTTGTCTATGTTTTGGATTTTGACCGGTCTAATACCTGTGTGGTGGTATCTCATTCTTACTGTAATTCCCTAATGACATGATGTTAAGTGTCTTTTCATATGCTTCTTTGCCACCTGTACATTTTCTTTTGTAAGGTGTCTGTTCAGATCTTTTCCCCATTTTCTAATTGCTCATTTTCTTATTGTTGAGTTTTAAGAGGTCTTTGTATATTTTTGATAATAGTTTTTTTTTATTGTTATGTCTTGCAAATATTTTCTCCCAGTCTGTGGCTTGTCTTCTTATTCTATTGATAGATATTTTTAGTAAGACAAAGTTTGCTAAATGTTACATTTTGGGGAAAAGTATTGGTTGTGGCCATCGCTATGAAGATGAAGAGATCTCAACACCATTTTAGTAGTTTGTCTGTGGTAGTAGGCAAACTTCAGAGAAACACCGGGTCTTTGCTAGTACACTTCTATATGGTAGTTTTCAAAAGGCATTGCATAGACCACTTATGTTCCCCAGGAATTCTGTGTCCCTATTCATCAGTGTGTGGTCTGTGGGCCAGCTGTATCTGCATCCTCTGGGAGCTGGTGAGAACTGTAGAGTCTCAGATACCAGCCTAGACCTGCCAAATCAGGAATTGAATTTCAATAAGATTTGTATGCACGTTAAATTTGAGAAGCCCTAAAAATATGAAAGAATTTTTTTTAATCTATGAGAAAAAAAGAGCTATTCTCTGTTTCAGATTGTAAAAGTCACAAGTTCATTATATAAAAATTGGAAAATAAAGAAATTAGGGAAACAATGTCACCTATAATTCTATAACTCAAAAATAACCATGACTATTAATGTTTTTTGTTTTCTCCTACATATTTTTCTTTGTATATATGTAATATACATGCATATATATTGAGAAAATACTATACACACATGGTTTTATTTTATACATTTTACAGTAAGTAATCAACTTTCATTCAATAAATTTTTATTGAATACCTACTATGTAACAGGTACTGTTCTTGATTCTGGGGTGACATAGGATTCTTATTCCATGACCCTTACTTTCTAGTGGAGCAGGTAGAAAATAAAGACAATGAAATAATACATTTGTAAACAGTGATAAGTAAGTAGGAAGAAAGTAAAACAGAGTAATGAGCTAGAGAGTAATTGTGTGTGTGTGTGTGTGTGTGTGTGTGTATGTTACACTTACTATTTGGTTAAACTGAGAGTTACATATTGTACTTAATCGAAATAAATGAGTTAGTCCCTCCAACTTTTGCCAACTCTAAGCATGCTGTGATCTATTTTATGAAATGCAAAGCTTTCTCCTCTCTAATTGCAAGGCCAGGCCTGTGATATGCAGTCCTTTATGTATGTGTCCTTCTAACAAATTTAAACCTAGATCCCTCTTCTCAGAAAATTATCCCCTTGTAGATCTTGTTGGAAGTGCAGTCACTGCTGCAGCAAAGAACCGCACTTCACTTTGTGCCTTAAGGCTCCATGTCTTTGCTCGTTATTCTAACACTCTATTGAGGTGTCATGTTTTTAATCCATTTAAATTAATAAGTAGGAATTTTAACTCAAATTGAAAGTAAATTTTTTGTGCTGCCAGTGGAAAGAATTCAATGAGATGATACCAGCTGTGCTCAGCCGAGGTCATTTGTGTGTCTTGCAGGCATAACAACTAGGTCACCATTAGCCTTTCTTCCTGCTACCTTGGCAAGTTTCTTTTGCCACCTATTGCAAGATATTTTCAGTTTACAGAAACACCAAAATATGGGGAAGGGAGCAGAATTATTCTCAGTGACTGGCATTTTATATTTCCACTGTGGTGAGATAGGGGGGGTTTTCATTTATTTTGATTACAGTTGTAACCTGCATTGAAAAATCACAAAAATTTCTTAATCTGCAGACATTGCAATGTTTTGTTTTGTTTTTCCTAATAGGGTGAAATATCACTGGTTAATTAAGTCATGTAGCAGCTAGTGGAATTGGGTGGGGAGTGCTCAGGGTCATTTCCTTGCCAATGAATTGATGAAACTTTGAAAAAGAATGTTTAATGATAACAGTGGCACAGCTGTTATGTAACATGTCATGTAATCTCATTCCAGTTCTAATCCCATATTCCTTTTATACCCAGCTCTAGAATCCAACTTCCCTACTGTTTTGGTGGCAACTGACTACTGCTGCCATGTTCCCTTGTACTTTCTGCAGTTCTTATTTTCTCAGCCAAGACTAATTTGTGAGAGTCTGTCCTCATCTATGAAAGGCATTAGAAGCCAGTGCTCTGCAGACAGATGCCTCCAGGAGTCACAGGATCTCGGGATTGAAAAGTACCTAAATACTCATCCACAGTTGTATTTACCAGCATAAAATATCCTAGAAGCCTGAGGAAGTATTCACTCCAGACATTAGGAATGACGGGGAAGAGGAGATAGGAGCTGGATCCCAGTACCTGTTGCAGGGGAGGAGGCCTGAGAAGGACAGCACTGGCTAAAGATTGTCTGACCCACTGAGTTCTAGAAGACTGCTCACCCCTTCCTCCTCCCACCTGTTGCTGGATATCTTATAAAGTTACATGAGCTCTTTGAGCTATGCACCAGCGAGTCCTATTTTCCTTTGAGATCACGGGGCTCTTCCCAAGAACACACATCAGGAAAGAACATACTCCCAAGGGGCACACACCTTGTAGTTCCTGGAATTAACTGCCCACCAAATTTTATATTTTTATGTTGGTAGCTTAGGAGTTTCCCTCTCCTTATTTCATGTTCACATTTATATGTCTGTATTCAAATATTGTAATTTTGTACCTGTTTACAGCAAGGATATCAGGAACAAGAAAACAACACATGTAATACTACCCAGAGTTATGTTGTGTGGAGCTTCTGTGTGTGGTGGTTGGTCTGCCCCTAAAAGAAACTGGCTGCCTGGAGCATGGCTTTGTATTTTCAGTGACAATGCTGTCACACTGCCACCTCTGATGAAACTGTGATGGAAGGGTGCTTAAATGAATGTGGACTTGGTCGTCCCTATTATGTCTCACATGATGATGATGATGATGATGATGATGATGATGATACCAGCTAACATTGATTGCCAGGCTCTTTCTCAGCTGATTCTATGGAGTAGCTCATTAGTTTTATTTTCATTTTAGAAAAAAAGACACTGAAATGCAGACTGGTTAAGTAACTTGTTTGAGGTCAGATATCTGATCATGGTGAAGGAGGATTGGAGCCAGACTGTCCAATTCTAGAGCAATGATCTTAAACACTGCCATCATTCGCATTCATTAAAGTATTTTAGCTGTGCTTCCACTGCCTAATATAAATAGAATCCCTGGCTGTTATAATCCTAGGCCTTGAGTAGGATATTATAATTCTTTATCATTTAACTACCATCTTAGTCCACCTGGCATAGATGTAAGTTATTGTGGGAAAGTATTATGTGGTGTTACCATTAGATTTCTAAATCCAGATGATCAGCGAGACCTGTGGGGCACGAGACGGTCACGTACCGTTGTTTTCAGCTGCTTCCGTTTGCACTGTAAGTCACAGAGAACGTCAGTAACAACTGCTTTTCCAAAAGGAAGAGTTCCAAAGCCCACGTGTTCTCTGCACTTGCAGACAATGTTAACAAATTCAAGCTGATTGTTTTGCTACCTAATAAATTTTCTAGGAGTACAGTGACCGAAAATCCGTAAGAAATGCATCACTATTACATTTCCAGATATTATACATTTCTCAGGGGGTTTTTTTGCATACCGTTTCCCATTAGTATGTGCTCTCAGTGAGTTCATTCTATCATTTCATATGTTAAAACAATTAACATCGACAAAACCCACACAAAGGGCATTTCTTTGTCAGCAGAGCAGAAATCAGTCCATTTATGAAACTGTTCATGCAGAAGAAGCATCACTAATTGAAAAGATCCCGAGTGTGTTTCCTGTTATTCACACATAGACTGTGTCAGGGACCCTGCAGAACTAATTAAAATGTGGATTTGTGTGTGTGTGTCATTGTAGGCTAAAGGTAAAGAAAGACAGTGGCTAAGACACCAAGCTACTGGGGAACTCGATGATGCCAAGATCATTGATGGACTGACTGGAGAGAAAGCCATCTACAAACGCCGGGGTGACCTGGAGCCACAAGTAAGTGATGGCGAACTAGTGGCCTCTACAGAGCTTGGCCTTCTCTATAGGCAGCTGCTTTCTTGAGTTGCTGTCCTTGACAAAACCCCATAAAGCCTGAATATGGCAACCAAGGAAAACATTGTATCTTAAAAATTTAGAAAAAAACATAAATATTATACTATTTATTATATGATTCAAGACCCTAGCCTACCTCAAGAAATACCAGGCAGACACAGTCAAATTGAGTAATTTCAGGAACAGTTAATTATAGACTATTCATGAAAGTAAGGGTTGGGTGTAGGAAGCCGCAGGGACAGTGTGGCATCCCGTCAGCAGTGTCTGACTGCCCCAGGTCTAAAAGGACGAGGGTGAGGGCACTGCTGGGGCTGGAGCGGCTGCCCTCTGGGAGCTGTGGGGGGGGGGGGGGCACTGCTGGGGCTGGAGCAGCTGCGCTCCGGGAGCTGTGGCCCTGGGGGGGCGGGGGGGGCGTGCGCCGCAGCAGAGGGCTGAGGGAGCAAGTATCTCACCAGTACCTCCCATCGGCAGAGCCCCTGAAAGCCAGCAGCCAAGAGAGGCTGATGCCATCCCTGCAGATCAGCCCCCAGCACACGGGCCAGGGTGCTCTAGACGGGAACTGAAAACCCTCGGAGTCTGTGGTTCCCGGAGGCTCACGCCAGTGAAAATACTAGAGTAGTCTTGGTGTTTTTCTGCCGCTCTGTTGCCTTAAAGATCTATGTCCATCCTGTGACTGAAGAATATTTTAGAAAATAAGGAATTTTTCTTTAAATAACTCTCATGCAAATGTATGTAAGTCTTTAGATAGTCATAATATTAAAATATTTGCAAAACAATGACAAAAATGGCAATGAGGTAAAATATCTGGTCTGTGACTCCCTTTATCCCTGAATAACCAGAATTGTTGAATAGCCACTGAGAACTGGGGGTGCGGTGACTGTTGGGGAAAGGGAGTCACTTACTCCATTTAAAAGTTTATTCAGAGAGGATTCTCTGGTAATTTGGGGAGTTCTTACATCTATGTCATCAGTATGAGTCAACAGCTTTCTTTACTGACTCACTGCGGTCGACAGATATGTTTAGATACGTCTGAAATAGCAAGTGGTCCTGGAGGCCGGTGCGGCGCTGCTCCAGCAGACTCAGTAGGATTTAAGAAATATATTGAATTTGTCTCAAACCATTGCACTAATATCCACAGGATTTTCTTCAAATTACTGACTCTGCTCATTAGTGTCCATACATGTCAGCAAGTATATAATAACAGAATAGTCTGGAATTTTTCTTCTTCCTTTTTTCTTGTAAGTAAAGTGACAAATGTACTTTTGTTTTCTGGATTCTGCAAATTGGCAGGATGAGTCCAAAATCAAACTGAAACTCATGAGAGTTGCACATGTTAATTGACAGTTGTTGCTAAACAGCAGTGAGGCCCTATTTTTATGCCTTTAACCGCCAAGGAGGGTACAGAGAAGTAGTAATTCAGCAACTGGAAGGAAGAGGAAACTGCACACTCACTAAGGGCTAAAGACACCGAAGAGAAGGCTTCGGTTCTTGGCCAGACGCCCTCACAGAACCCTGTTTTAGGAATCTGGCATTTTGGAAAATGATTTTCAGATCATTACACCACAGGTACAAGTAAAATCCATGTGGACTTCCAAAATAGCTCCATCTTGCTGGAGTAACTGAGTCTGAAGCATGACATGAAAATGACATGTTGGGGTTTATATCCTTCCAGATTATTATTTTTAAGATAGCATCAGCTTCATTAAGACAGTTTTACTAGACTAGATTGGGTCTTAAAAGGACCATATGTTCCAAAGGAAAATCTTTCCCATATGGCCCGACTAGCAGCACAATCCCATTACTGAAATACAGCCTGTAGCCCTGGCCAGTTTGGCTCAGCAGTTGGAGCGTCGGCCTGTGGACCGGAGAGTCCTGGGTTCGGTTCCTGCTAAGGACACGTACCAAAAAATAAAATATAACACAACCTGTAGGCGCCTTTCCACCGGCCCAAACGGCGCATGCAGCGCTGAGCCAGGGCTCACCTGCCTCCTGTGGCTGGCACTTCGGGCCGCGTGAGATCCCCAGTGATGGTTTTCTGGTTCACAAGACTTCTGTTTCCTCCGTCAGGTGGGAAGCCCCCAACAGAAACCCAAGCGCCTGCGCCTGGTGGTGGATGTGTCCGGCAGCATGTACCGCTTCAACGGGGTGGATGGCCGTCTGGAGCGCTCGATGGAGGCTGTGTGTATGGTAATGGAAGCCTTCGAGAACTATGAAGAGAAGTTCAAGGTAACGGTGTGAGCTAAGGATGGGGAGAGTCAGCCCCGAGGCAGGGCACACTGATGGACAGGCAGGCGGGCGCAGGCTCCGCCCGAGGGACAGAAAGCTTCATCGTCAGCTCACGTATCAGCACAGAGAAAGTGAGCCTCTGGTTTTATCTGCTCTAATAATCCCAAAATGGTAATACCAGCATTTGAAGGAGCACTTACTGTAGAAGAAAGCGCCGAACTTTGTAAGTGGGATGTTAGCCATCATGTGGGGGGTGGGAGAAGCAGGCACTTAGAAGAACCACAGTCTCTTCCCCACATTTCTCAGAGCCGCTATCCTCGTTCCAATGCCCCCACCCCCATCCTTGCCCATCACCAACCAGGCAGCTCCCACGGTTTGAGTGCACCCTCAGATATGCTGTTCCCAGCACCGCTTCGTCCTTCCACTCGGGTGACGGTCACACAGCAATGGGTGTCTCCCCAGTGGACAGTGAGGAGGGTAACCCTGGGAGACCTGCAGCCTCCCTTTCAAACTTTCCATCTCGCTGTTGCTCCATGTGCTCTGCACCCACCTCTACAGGTCTGAGCCCCAAGAAGGGATCCCCTGTAGCTGTGTTACTGCTGAGATGACCCGTGGACCCTCTCTCGCTCAGCCAGATGCAGGCAGCACTCACCAGAGCAAACAGCCTTGAGTTCGGCCACGAGTTGCATAATCACTACCACAAGTTCAGTTGAAAGAAATGGTACATGTACAGACATGAGTATGGGGTGCACAGTCTGTCCATGGACATTCTAGATTGTATTTTGGGTCAAATATGTCCTTCCGAAACAGGTGAACTTAAATCATTTTGGGGGCTTGACATCCCAGCTACGCCTCAGGATTGCTGGGTGTCACAGTGGATACCCCGAGAAACAGGTTGGTGGAACCCATGCCTCGTTCGTGAGGCCCTGGGTCTCCCAGGGCCCCTTGTGTGACTGTCTACACGGAAGATTCCTTCTAGGACGAAACGGTAGGAGCAGGAGCGCTGTGTGTCACCGGCTCTTCCAAGGACAGGACACAGATACAAAGAGAACACAGGCTTTCACTGGGGGCAGTAGCTTTGCTCCCCTTAAAGAACTGGAATGTATTTCCCTTTGTGGTTAGTGAAAATCATGAAACTATTGAATTTCCCTCTTGGTTTTCATTGCCAGGAAGCTCAGAGCTAAAAGCAGAAACCAGCCCCTTTGTTACGTCTTACGGCTTTCAGACTGGGGTTCAGCTCTTCCTGCCCTTGGCCGCCCCTCCCTTTAGATGGTCATTTCCCTTGACTTCGAGTTTTTACTTTTTTATGTTCTATGGATTTATAGAAAATGTTTATTTAAAATATTTTAGATCCTTCCTACTATGAGGTGGCATGTAATTCTTAAACCACTTGCTCCACTGATAAAGGATGGTTACATATGATCACATCAGCATAAATTCCACCTGATGTTTTAAAACCTTTGGGTTCTGCTAATGTTTGGATCAGCACATCCAGCTCTTTGGTGGATCCTTTTTTTTTTTATCCTCACCCGAGGACATTTTTCCATTTTTTGTTCAGATAGAGTGGGAGGGAGAGAGAGAGAGAAACATTGACGTGAAAGGGACACATCGAGTGGCTGCCACCCACACGACCAACCAGGGCCGGGGACAAACTGCAACCGAGGTACATGCCCTTAGCGGAACCGAACCCGGGTCTCTCTGGACCACAGGCCGACGCTCTAACTGCTGAGCCAAACCAGCCAGGGCTCTTTGGTGGATCTTGAAGCTCAGTGTTCCTCAGCTTCCTTTGAGATTTTAGTCGATCATAGACTGCAGCAAACATACCACTGTGAAATTCGGCATTCTTATCTAGAATAAAATTTCCAGTTAGCTAGAGGATTTCTAAACCTTTCGGAACAGAACTGCTCTGATATGTGAAACTAGTTTCTCTAGCTTTTAAGAACAATTTATAAGGAGTTAATCAAGAATTTGGTTACACAGCGCCCCTGGACCAGTTAAATGACGAGGTAAAGGGCAGAGGGTGTCAGCTAACGGGGAGTGCAGAGGACGCTTCCGACAGCCGCGGGCGAGCGGGCGACGGTCAGAGCCGCTGGGTGCCCACCGCGGAGCGCGCAGTCGTCTGTAGGCCCGCGCTGACAGCCTGCGCAGAAGCCCTGTCCATGAAACCGAACTGTCGACAGAAAAGAAGCAGCATCCGGGAAATGAGCATTTCCCAGGATGTTGTTTTGTTTCCAGTTGACAGTTACAAACCAAATTATGCCAAAGGAGGTGCCAGACTTCAGTGTAATTACAAGCATTAATCGAGCTCTTGCTAAATGCAGTGTATCCGCTGGGTGCGGAGTTCCCTGCCGTCCTGGAGCTTGTGGCCTAATGAGGGAAGCACAACAACTACTAATTTGGACGGGAGGTTCGATGAGCGACTTGCAGGAAGAGGGGCGAACACAGCACCCCTTTCCGGACACTCCGCCAGCCATCGTCCCTAAGTCCCTAAGCAGCATTTGCCCACCGTCTCTTCTGTTGCCAAACAACGGGAAGAATTCCCTCAGCTATGCTGATAACTGTTGTGATATATGGTGACTAATCGAGTCATATATTTATAGCAAGAAATTATAGCAAGACACCAAGAAAACCTTGAGGTAGCTTTATCATTTTTTATGCTATTCGATGTTTAATAGGCAGTGTTTAGTGGGTTTGGCTTTGTGCGTTTTCGTGTACTTATAAACATATTCCTCACATTCACTACAGTTCCTTTAGGACTTTTTTTAAGACCATACAAAGTGTTACAAAACCAGTGCATTAAAGTCTTTTCAACAAAAGGAAACACCTGAAGACTTCACAAGCCAAGCTCGTTGAGGAAAAGCGGTGCTGGGCGAGCGGCTGGAGGGCGGGCTAGGGGCAGGCCAGGCGTGCCCCAGTTTTCCTGCGATTCCCCTCATGTCCGTAGACTTCACACGGGGTCGCCTTACAGGTCACTCCCTCGAGTTCTCCTTCCTCAGATGGAAGCGGAGGCCCCGAAGCGTAAGGGACTTGTCCCAGAGTGGACGGCGAGCTGGAGGAAGAGCAGACTTTCCGTTTGCTTTTCCTTTTCTGTTTTGTTTGCAAACTGTCCCTTTACTTCTCAGGTTTTGAAAATGAAATTTTAAACCTACAAAAAAGTTGAAAGAAGAGTAAAATTAACACCCATATGCCTTCACTTAGATTCCCGGTTGTTAGTATTTTCCCTCATTTGCTTTGTGTTTTTCTTTAACTGTATATACTCCACCCCCACATAATTCCAGTAATCCCTGAATTATTTGGAAGAAAATGATAAGCACACAGTGCTTTACCTCTGACTGCTTCATTGTGCTTCCCCTAAGGGTAAGGGCGTTCTCCACAGCTCAGCACCACGTCACATCTCAGAGATTGTTGGTAATCTCATAATGTCTTCTCATATCTAGTCTTAATTCATTCTCCCAACTATCCCCAAATTGTCTCTTCTAGTTGTTTCCCCCACCATCCAGGACCCAGGCCAAGTCCATGCCTTAGTTGGAAGGTCTCATCAGCCTCCTTCCATGTGGAACAGCCTCACCCTACCGATGCCATCTGCTTTTCATGGTGGCCACTGTCCTTCCTTCTGGATTTGACTGGCTGTTTTCTAACAGTGCCATTTACCTCGCCCCAATATCCCCAAATCGCCAGAACGCCTATCGGGCTTTCCCCCGACACCGGGCACTCTGTAGACTTTGCTTCCTATTTCCACCACCCCTGCCAACATTTCCAAGATTTGTGGTGGGAGGGAAGGGGAGAGAGAGAGAGAGAGAGAGAGAGAGAGAGAGAGAGAGAGAGAGAGAGAGAGGAACGTTGATGTGAGAGAGACACATCGATTGGTTGCCTCCTGCATGACCCCAGCTGGGGCCAGGGATGGAATCTGCAACCCACATATGTGCCCTTGACTGGAATCAAACCTGCAACTCTTTGGTCCGTGGGCTTATGTTCTAACCATGAGCAGCTGGCCAGGGCATAGAACTTTTTGTTAGAATGAAATATTTTGGGGCATAGGTAGTGGGCGCACACAGTACAAAATATCAAAGGCACAAGGAGGATGAGCGATGCACTAGCTTCCCTGTCTCAGCGCCGGCACCCTCTCGGGTGGTGAGCACGGCCCTGGATGGTTTTGGCCTCGGAGAGACTTGGTCACTAACGCCGAGCGGCAGCGGAGCGTTCCCCTCTGCTGTCTCTACACCGCGCTGTTACTGTCAACTCCTCACTCCCCCAGTACTTTCTTTTGTGAAAGAAACATAAGAACTAGGAATAGATCATGAAGGTATGGAATTTATCCAGCAAATATAAAGTGATGCATGAGCAAAAGACAGTTTTAGGAGCTCCTGGTGAAAACGTATGTTCCATGACCCAGGATGGCATTGCACGTGGTGTGTGGAGGAATTCAAGCTCCCCACGCCCCAGCTCCAGACAGTTCTTAATGTCATGTTCCTGCCATCGTCACTCTGTTTGTTGTAAAGGTGTCCAGTCAGAATTTGCTTTGAAATTGTCCAAAGCCACCACCCTGGTCCAGTGATCTGGACCCTTCCACAGAGCCTCTCAGCATCTGCTGAGTGTTTTGTTTGGCTTGGGCTCAGCTCCGGACGCCGGGTCAGTACAGTCCACGAGGGTCACCAGGAGGCAGCCTCCACTTTTCATTCTGCCTTAGCATGACCGGGGCCCAGGCGAGGGACCCCCAGCAGAATGGCTGGGAAGGTGAGGAAATGCGGAGCAGGACGCGTTTCAGAGCCATCTGGAGTTTCTGAAGTTCCTCATAATCGTTCCACCAACTGAGCCCCGTTCTCAGGAACAGCACTCACAGCAGGTCACTGAAGGGGCGATGTCATCTCTAGTCCTCAGCATAAATCCTCTGATCCTGTAATCAGCAGAATTTCAAACATGACAGTGAAAAGCAGAATGGTAGCGGTTTGTAAACCATTTTATTTAAGGCAGGAAGCATTTTTTTTTCCTTTATCTTTGTT